AGCTTACGAATGCGTAAAATATGGTCTTTCGTACTTTACTCAGAATTTCTTGTCACAGGGATTATGGATGATAGTACTTGCTGTGACAATGCTTTACAAAGAATGATTATACTATTACGGGAATTGATGTCTCGCTAAAATGCGAAATTAACGATAAATATGAAATAATACTTGATTTCTCCCTTCACCTTATTAAATTATGAACAAGTAATATTTGTAACGCGACATTCATTAATGAGAATCAAATTCTAATCCTGCACAATTAGATCGGAGAGTTAGTTTTAGATTAAGTTTCGATTATATAAAATACATTAAAAATCCATTAGTACTTATACAAATGATTATTCATAATTTATTGTATCATGAACGATTGTTCATTGTATATTAGTTACATTGTGTATCGTAGAAATAAGTAATTATTTGCTCATTTGATGTATCCAAAATAGCCTCTGTTATTTATTATACTGATTAAAGAGCTATTTAACTTGGAAATATAAGAAAAAAATTTGGTACTTATGATTATGGCGATTCATCCATGACTGTTTTTTTTTTTTTTTTTTTTTTTTTTTTTTTTTTTTTTTTTATGTTTATCGTTAAATACTCGGGACAAACTATTATGGCATTTTCCGACGCAAAATCACCAGGTTCCCAAGTACTGGATTATAAGAATAATATGACGATCGATCGCTGCCATCTTACTTACGCTGCTCATGACTCCACGGGGCATTTTTTCTCCCAACTTTTGCGCACTCCAAAGCGCCAAAATCATGATCGTAAAGTATTATCGGGCACTCGTCATGCGGAGCCCGAGATTGGCCGAAAAGCGAAACCCCCTCTGCCTCGGCGACGGCCAACATGCTTAGCCAGCCGAGTGGCCGAGAACGATTAAAGTAGGTTGAGCGCCATCTTCGTTCCTCACCTCCCCCTGCCCCCCCCCCTTATCGTGAAAGCTTCATATATACGCCCGCGACACTTTGCGGTGACATTGGGCCAGAATTCACGAGCTCAGGTGCTGCCGGTGGCATGGATATTCCAAAACGAGTGGGATATCGCTCTTAAGGTCGGGTGGAATCGGTCCCGCGAGGCGCAATACGAGTAATCGATCGGCTTGCGCTCGCGCTTTACAAGTCGTGCAGAAATTGCAAAACTTGGGGCAAAAAGTCGGCGAATAGTTGCGATTTATTGACGTGAAACGCCGTTTGCTCCCCCCTTCCTTTTGTCCGTCCTCTTTTTATTCCTGCTATTGTCTGTGGTGACAAAAAAAAAAAACAAAAAACAGAAAAACAAAAAAACAAAAAAACAAAAAAACAGAAAAAAAGAAGGGAAAAGAAAAAAAAATCAAGGATTCACGCCACTGGCGGCGAGTGAGGAAAAATTTCTCATCAACATTTATCACACTTAATTAATCTTTTCGCGAATTTTGACAAATGCCTTACACGATAAGAATTAATGTTCATGAAGCCGATGCCACGACGAACCCTAGAATCGCAGACAAATCATTCATGTTATTATATAAATTTGAATTTGAATTTGAATTACGTGTCAACTTGCTGTAAAATCTAAAAAGAATACCAACTTTTAAGTTTGTTTCGTTTTGTCAATTGTTTAAGAAAGTCACTACGTGACTATTGGTATGGTGTCGCATTTATAAGCAATAAGGCGTGGGAATATTTTATCTATATGTATATATATATTCGACGAGCTTCTATGTAATAACTTTAGAATACGAAAAATGTTATTTAATTTATAGATTACACAATATATATATATATATATATATATATATATATATATATATATATATTATTGATATTATTGAAGCCATGGACGCGATTATTTAGGCTTTACCGATAGAAATGCAGATGAATTGGAGGCGCATACCAGCGTCCCTGTATCGCGAAAAATATATCAATAAGAATTCCTTAAATTGAAAACTAAAATGCCGAATGGAAAAGTTAAGTCGAGGCCGAAAATTGAATTTGTTTCAAAGTTATGCCAGTTCTTCTTCTCGCTCGTTTTCTTTAATTGACCTAAAAGTATAAAAAATTTTAATGCGCCAGATTAAGTTTTTAATTTCAAATTCCAACTCCAAATTCCAATTCCCTTTCGCCCGCCAGTTAACTCATCCGACAAAGTCTTCTTCTTCTTTTTTTTTTTTTTTAAGGATAAAAAAAATATTTATAAAACTCTGTACTTTTATCCATTAGAATATCTAATGACGTATTGTTATTATGGACTTGTAAAATTATCGATTTTTATTTTCGTTAAATGCAATTCTTTCGACACTCGACAATTCCAATCAAATATCTCGATTGTTTTCTTTCATTCTTTTCTTTTATCGTGTAATCGCAAAACTGCCTAATTCTTTCTACTGAACTTTTCCGATACAAGAAACAAAACAAAAAAAAAATAAAAAAAAAAAAAAAAAAAAAAAAAAAAAGAAAGAAAAAAAAAGAAAGAAAGAGAAAAAAACGTCGAATAGCGTATCACATTGTATTACAAACTTTTAAGGATAAATAATAAATATCAAGTTAAAAGCATTATTGTATTTATTTCACAATGGAATTTCAATACAGAAGATTTACAGTTTTTTTTTTTTTTTTTTTTTTTTTTTTTATTTATTTTTTTTATTTTATTCATCGCGTATCTCGATTAGCGTTAATGCGATTAGGGACGAGATTATTGGTAGCTCGATTTATCATAAAGTAGAAGCTCGAGAGCTCGCTTGCTTCTCATCTCGATAATTACTCACGCGACATTGTCAGTATTTACAGAATAGCACCTTAAAAACATAATACGAACTAAATCTATCGCGTAAATAATGAGGAAAATGCATTAAAGATACGCAATGGAGAGTAGAGCGAGAGGGTATATCGGCAAGAGAGAAGCTTTATATTTTTATTATTTTTCCCGATCGTCGATGTACTTGAATCTGGCATGTACGTACTTGGCAAATTCACGTGTTGGATAGCCGAGAAAAATATATATAAGCCGAGCGGTACAGAATAACCAATATTTTTCTCGGTAAACACGACGGAGGAAAACTCAATATTGCACAGCGATTTCAGCCATTGATCACCAGCCTGTCATCGTCATTGACTATTGTGACGATTTTGTTTATTCTTTACAGATCAAACATTACAAAACTATTCCATTTCTTTAATTATATTTTTACAAATTGAGAAAAAAGAAGGACGCACGACGATGCATCTTTCCTTTTCTTCGTCGACTCTGACGCTATTAAACGCTTACTACACATAGAATACTTCATGTTTTCCGTTTAAGGTCTACTCGCTTCACAAGGCAGTATCATTTCGTTACATTTATACTTTTTAGTCGGTTAATCGAATACACAAACACACGCGCACACACGAGCGCACACACAGGCAAACATAAGCACGAACGCGCACGAACGAACGCACGCACTCATTCGTGCATTCATACATTCGTACATACCGACACACTTGTGTTATAAACATTTCGCTATTCCTTAATAAAATAAGGAGAAGAGAAGGTATTAATAGAAAATAAAAACATGTAGGTTGAAAAGCGTAGAACCAGCACCGTATTTTTGTGTTTATTTTCTTGAAAACTTACGCAACTATTATCACTAATGCATTCGGGAAAGATCGAATAAACTCTGCCCAGCGACATCCACGGGGAATGTGTAATAATTTTCTGTATAACTTAAAAATGCGTTATTGTACAGCGTAGATATGCCTCTCAAATGCGAAGCAATAAAATTATTTTCTTCGAGTAGTTTACATAAGTTTGATGCCCGATAAATTTACGTTAATTAAGCTATAAATATAACATCCGGTAATTATGATTTGAGAAACGTGACCGAGCAGCGTTTGAATTGATTAATCTGTGCGTACAACACGGCAGATAAATAATTCAACAGCGGCCAGTGTGGAGTTGCGGAGTCGGCGCATCGGAACTTCTTTGAGGTCACCGGGCGATTCTTTCTTTCCGTGTTAGGAAGCCAAGTTTCATGTGCGTTACAACGCCGTCTCTCTCTCTCTCTCTCTCTCTCTCTCTCTCTCTCTCTGTATCTCTATCTCTAAGTACTTTCTCTCTCGATTTCTCCCTTGTCACGTGTAGAATGCAGCACTGGTGTGGGCAAAACTCCGCAAGACATAAAAGGTCTAAAATACGTGTGTAGAGGTGTGGGTCGACGGTGAGGGGAGTGGGGGAGGGGGAGGTTAGAGGATAGGAAGGAGAGAGTGTGAGAGAAGGGTGGGAACGTATTTTACGCGTTTCTCCTATTTCTCGAGCACTTTCTGTAAAAGGAAATTTAAGTGCTGAACTCAGCAGTACCACTCGTATGAATGACAAACTAACCAACCTCGCGCGCTCGACAAATGCGCGCCGAGCCGTGGGACGGGGGCCGGGGAGAAATTAGAGGATGCAGGCCCTGAGGAAGAAGAGCGGCCGCCCATAAAAATTGGCGAGGAGCGGGGAGGTGGCTGGTGCGCGACGAGTGGCAAGTGGAAAGTCCAGCATCGTAACTCAAGTTTCCGTCGAGCGGCTCCGTCGAGTACATCTTCTTTGTTCCCCAATGTTTTTTCTTTTCTCAAAGTTTTTTTTATTCTCGTTTGCCAGCCTCCAACGGGGATCCCGATGTGAGAAGAGCTGCGTCCCCTCGTCATTTAAATGCAGGGCTCCCACCCGAGGCTCCTCTTCGTCCTTGTCATGCTCCGCGCGAGATAAATCTTCCGGGGGGCCCGGGCCCTCGGCCGTAACGAAGATCGCGAAAGGTAATTCGTTGGCGCATGCGCGCGCCACCAGCCACGTGTCTCATTAAAAACTACGATACTCGGGACTCGGGCTCGGCTTTCGGGGCCACAAGTACCTGCAGCAAGTGACGTTTACGATTTCGCGGTCGAAATCCTTGCCACGACGCGCTCAGCCGTCGCCGGGCGCTGATCCAACCGCAGCTCGCCCATCATTTCCCGCCCGGTGTTCACCACAAGGCCGACGGACCTTCGTCACCCATACCATACTATTCCTTCCGGGATCGCCTAACGACGTCTTTGATCCCACGCACCACCACGCCCCCGCAAAGTCGTTCGTAACAATACGTGCGGAGCGCGGAGTGTAAGTTCGCGTGCCACGCGCCCGATCGACGTTATAACCTAGGCGAAGCTAAAAATCCAATGAATCGGGGGATGAGCGGTGACGGTGGGAGGTGTGTGACGGGAGGGTCGACTGTTCGATTTGACTGGGTGTGGGTACGGGACTACGCTTGGTACGATCGCGATGACGAAAGTAAGGACGGCCGTTAAGCGTCGGACTTGGCAGGAGGATTCGGCGCTCGCTGTCAAGCCCGGGACATCGCGTTCGAACATCAAATCTGCATCTCCGGCTCGGAGTCGTCGTGGAACCAGCTGGACCGACTCTGTACGGCGTTCTGCATGTGGATCTCTCGCTCGGTGTATCGCGTTGTCGTCGCGTAGCTGCTGCTGGTGGTGGTGGTGGCGCCGTGACGAACACGGCCCCCACTGCCACCGCCCACCCCACCGACACCGACGCTCTGGCCGGCGATGGTTCGTCCCTGCCTCGTGACCTCCTCGTACGAGGAGACGGGCAGGACTTCTCTCCTGTGGGGCCGCGGTGTCGTCTCCGTCGAACTGCAGGGCTCGTCGTCGATGCCCCAGTGCGGCAGGTTGCGGGCCGGCAGGCCCCAGTGCTCCGTGAACTCGGAGCCGGACCTGGCCAGACTCGGCTGGCTCAGCGATCTCACCAGTGAGTCGCCCTCGAAGGACGAAAGACTCGTCTGGTCGTCCCTGTCTAAGCGGGCGAAGTCTCGAACCGTCATTTCGGACATCGATCTGAGGTCGGCCTCGCTTCCACCCCTCGTCGTCGAGCTCAGCTTTCTAAATTCAGTCGACAAAATGTCCCAGTATTAGATTGCGATCCTCGAAAAATTAATTAATTAGATGGCTTATTGATTATTAGACAGCTGATGCGACCTATTGGGCGGGTTGAGATTCGTCACTTTTAATCTTTGTCAACGCACAAATAATGTGATATTATGGCATTTAATCGGTTAAAGCTCCTCGATCGTATTAATCGGCAATGGGGATTATTAATAAAATTGTATGCTTAGTAGCTGCAACGAGGATTTATTGTCGCGTGTAGTAAGTAGCGAATTAGTATTGGTTAATGTGTTTAAGGGCGAGAGTTTCTCATAAGAAACTCGCTCTGTTAAGATTTTACGTGCTAATTGTCGGTGTACTTAGGAGGCAGAAAGTTTTTTCTGTACTATCATGGAAATCAATTAATTTCTGATTTCTTTCTTATCTTTTTTCTTTTTCTTTTTCTTTTTATTATTTTTTGTTTTGTTTTTGTTTTTGTTTTTGGTAACTATCCAGGGCGGGAATTAAAGAGTATGAAAATTATCGTTAAAATTTGCAGGAATCTTGGTCAATGCGGAGCGAAGAGGAAGAGTCTTGGGCAGCTAACGATACGTCGAAATACGAGCAGCGATATTAAAAGAAAGCAAAAGGGGCAAAGAGAGTGATCGATGTAAAATTTGAAAATGTAATGTATAATAATTGGGATAAAGTTGTCGAGTAAAATGGATAATTGATTATCGTTTAAACGATATTTCGTGTCGATTCAGCAATTGGCAATTCGGACTTTTCCAAATAGTAAAATACAACAAACGCAATGCACGACTAATGGGTGTGTGCGAGTGAAAAGAAGCGCACAAGACAGAGAAGGAGAGAGAGAGAGAGAGAGAGAGAGAGAGTGAGTGTGAGCGAGGGAGTGGAGGGGAAGAGGGAGAGAGAGAGAGAGAGAGAGAGAGAGAGAAGGCTGTAGAGGGGGTGGGGAGGGGAGGAGGTGTTTAGCGGTGTCGATTAACGGAGGGATATTGTTGTCGAGGGGATATCGGGTGGATAATGGCGCTGACGTCGTTACCTGATTCTTATTCCCGAGACTCCGGGCCCGGACGAGCTTCTCAGCTGATCTTGGCCAAAGGTCCTGGCCGAGCTTCCACCGTCGCTCTCGTACTCGTAGAGGGTCGGCAGGGATGATCTCCGCGACCTGTTGTCCCACTCGGTGGATTTGCCTCGCTTGTAGCGTTGACCGCTTTTGCCGTGAGCCGACGAGGAGGCCGAGCCGGCATTGACCGGACTGACGATGCGTATAATGACGTCCCATTTGGCCGGCGGGAACAAGCTCACGTACCTCGCGTCCTTCCTAATCAGCTCGTAGTCCTCTTTAACGATGGCCTCCGTCAACAGGGTCTTGAGAGTGCTCTCGGTGGTAATGATCTCTCGCCACTTTTTTCGCTCGTCGTCGGTAAACTCCGCGGCGTACTGTGGCTCGAGCACGCGCTCGAGGTTGTACCAGCTCGCTGCGCCGCGCTCCACCTCCTCGTTGACGAGGTCGTGGGTAGTGCTCCGTGATATGTCAGCTCCCCTCACGGTGTACGTCGGCTGGATGTGCACGTCGATGGGCTCGTCCCTAATTTTCGTGCTCACGGGCTCGTTGGCTATCGTGAGATTCGAGGCCGAGCTCACGTCCGAGAAGTTCTCCCACTCGGGCGGCGGGGGCGGTAGCTCGTGCATCGGGTAGTTCCTGATGGTGACGTCCCATTTCGGATCAGGGAGGGGCTGCTGCCTCGCGTGATACTCGGTCACCTGGCGCCGATGGCGCTCGATGTCCTCGATGGTCTTCTTCTCGGTGACGGTACGCAGGAAGACGTCGTCGACTTCGTGAGTGGTGATCTCCGGGCGCCTAGAGGCGACGACCGGCTCGACCAGCGGCTCGACCTCTTCCCTCCTTTGCTCCCGGTAATCCTCCGTCACGTGGCTAACGCTCGGGTGTATGGAGGTCGAGGGGGCCAGCATACTGGCGACTCGGTATTTGGCGTGAGTGGCGTCGGTGACCTCGGTAAGCGATCTCGTCTCCGTCATTTCGGTGTTGAGCGAAGCCAGGGATCGTGGACGATGGGCGGTGACGTTGGCGGTGGCAGTGGCGGCGGCGTTGGTTTCCGTCACGGTCTCGCGATCCGCCTGTTTGCGCAGAATTCTAGAGTAAACCGGTGGCGTCTGTTGGCGGGAGGTATTAGGCGGGGCGTGAAGCTCGGGCACGTAAGCGAATGTTGTTAGACGCGGCTCCGGACTCTCGACGGCTCTAGCCGTCTCCTCGCGCTCGAGGATCGTCGTTAAATTGCGCTCCAGAGCGAGACTGGCGTCCGACTCGGAAGGCAGGGGACTGGGAGGTGCCGGGGCGCGTTTAACTCGCATCAGTACGTCGAATTTGGGCTCCACGGGCATGGCTACTGGATGACGCGACTGGGTCATACGCGAGGCTGTTACCGCTGTGCTTTCTACCTCATTGATCGTTTCCGAGTAGAGGGAGCTCGAGGCGCGTTGTTCCACCTGCTGATGAATGAATGCCTTGGTTTCGTACGAGCCAGCTGATGATACGGGGAGGGATCTCTCTTCGTCGACCTGTTTCACACACAAAGTCACAAACAATTCAGTCACGAGCGATTCATTCGCACGCCAATTCAGTCCAGCCCCTCGCGCTACGTCGTTCTACATCGTTTTGCAACGGCGTTCCATTGTGAATTCATTATTTAAGGAATGGAATTGAGTCGAGGTTTGCGATTCCTTGCTCGAAGCTTCCGGGTGCCGCTAATCGCGCCAATGTCGCGCCCTTATCGTAACGGTGCACTTACTCGTCGCCCAATACACTCGATATAACCAAATAGAATTTGTTATATGCGAGGGAGATGGACCAGCCATGCGCAGCATCATCTAGCGATACTCGTTACGATACAGCGCCTCCCATCATTAATCGGCCAAAGCCCCGGCTCAATTCCCCGGACGATTAACGTCCAAATGTGTCAGTGTGCCCCGGGATATGGTTGCTGAGACTTGGCAGGCGAGGATGGGAAAATTTTCACGCGCGCGCGCGCGCGTGTGTAATGAATGCACTGGAAGCCGAGTTGACGTAAGATCAAGTGTTTGGTGATGGTGGGGATGGTGGTGATTTGAAACGATGGAGATAAGAGCTTTTAAAGGTCGCATACCTCGGAGTGACTCTCGCTGGGATAATCGCTGGGCAGCGTGTCGGAGTGCTCGATTACCAAGTGGGCCTCGCTTCCGTAGGTCTGCTGAGTACCGATGATCCTCGGTATCTTGAAGTCGTCGAACATGGATATGCGACTTAATGCCGAGGAGCCGGAGACCTTTGTGATCTCGGAGCCGGCGAACTGTTGGTGATGAACGACGGGGACGGGCCTGCGCTTGAGGCACATGTAGGAGCAGCCGAGTCCAAGGAGGAGTAGCGCGAGGAACAGCAGCGTGCATATCATTAGGAGGATATGGAAGCCGCTGAGTATCGGTGCCGCTGGTGGTCTGCGAATTAACTCGGTTCTTACCTTTCCTTTGGCTTGGGTTCGCGTAATCGCGCGGGTGGCTCGACATCGAGACGAGGCAGTTTCGAATCGCTAGACGTCGGGAAGCGCGCGGACGTTCAGTCATTTCGTTAATATAAAGGCCAAACGGGGAGCAGTTTGAGCGGTGCGTTGAGACTTTTTTTTTCTTTGTTTTTTTTTGTTTTTTTTTTTTTTTATCAACGCGGTTTGTCATGGGTATATATATATATATATATATTTTAATACCCGAGAGATTGACGCGCGTATAAAATTACATAGACGTGGCATTATTTCCTTTCTTTCTTTCCTCTTTCTTTCTTCTCTTAACAAAATATATAGATTCACGAGTCGTCAAGAATCAGGCTAAGCGAGACGCGGGTGTGCCATTAATATAACGAGCAGATAAGTTGGATAATTTTCGATAAATCGACGCTACCACTTGTCAGATTGAAAGGAAAAAAAAACAAAAAACAAAATAACAAAAAAAAAACACAAAAACAAAACAAAAAAAAAAAACAAAAAACAAAACTAAAAGAGAAAAGAAAAAACTGGCGAGACTCAAGGCCTTAAATTATCCATCGACTGCCCAATACGCGCGACATAAATTATTCAATAATCTCGGAAATTGAGGGCGCGCAATATCATGGTAACGCTCATTACTCACGGTGATTCTCGATGTGCGAGTAAAGGACCCGGTTTTTCCGCTCTTGCTGGAGGATATCGGCAAACTATAGTTATAACTTCATCGCCATCCATCTCGAGTCCTGGATGAAAACGCACGACGATATTGTTCGTGAAGACTCGTGGCGGATCCTGCACGGTCCCACAGCCTGTGGAATAAAATATGCGTGCATCGGCGTTATCGATTGACAAATATTTTTTGAGAAATCTCTCGCCGATGGACATTATCCGCTGCCGGCGAGGCGCGCACGCCCAACCAGTGAAATGGCTTTGGCTATATTAAACGAGCACGTTTATTACGTAGAAGTAAAATGAAATGTGCAAGAGAATCGTCCTTTGCGGCCCATTTCATTCGTTCACACAATGCAAATGAAGGGCCGATCTCTATTTAATAATTCATCGAGAAGCTTCCGCCAAGTGGCGGGAGAATGAAGAAATGAAGAAACGATGAAGAAGAAAATAAACGATGCGATATCTCAAGAGCGTTTTCACGCTGGTGTGCGAGTGCCCGTGAAATAATATTTCAAATTAAAATAATTATCTTGAAAGTGAGAATATTAATATTAACGATCAGGACGACTCTCTATAAATAAATATGTGCGTTACCGACTTTTTTATTATTTTCATATCTTTCTACCACATATCCCTCCCCTTGGCTAATACTCGAATTTTCAATTGACTTTATTAATATTTGCATTCCGACGGAGAGAGGCACTTCTTCTGCGTATAATAACACTCTCCTCGACACTCCTCGTACACTCGATCGGTCCATGCGAATAACCAAACACTGCGAAACTCGTACACATTTGTGTTTTACACGCCGAGTTTAAGAAAGCAAGAGAAATGCAAGAGAAACGAAAAGTACGAGGAAAATAAAAAGAAAACAAAGGGGAAAAACAGAGGGGAGGGGGGTTAGATGAGCAAATAAAAAAAGAAAGAATAGAACGGTCACGGCTCTTTGTGTAATAAACGATTAAAGAAACAAGAGAAATGGAGGGAAAAGGATGAAAAGAAACCCGATCGCCTTGGTACCTTTAAGTGGCAGCTCGATCCTGGCGCTATCGAGTCCCCGGCCCTTGGTCATGCAAGCGCTGTTCCTGTCGAAGTCCGCGTAGGCCAAGCCGTAGAAGGGCTCCTGGAACATGAGCTCAACCTGCATACTGCCCTGGGAGCAGTTGAGGAAGGCCTTGGTGCGGTTGAGATGGATGCTCGGGAGTATTTCGTTGAGGTTCGTCACGGAGCCGTTGAGGGTCGTGTAGATCGGCAGGCCAATCTTGTCGACCTCGATGCTGTTGCCGTGATCGCGCGTGGGCGCGTCATCGACGTTGTTGCCGTCGAGCTCGTCCTGGTTAGCGAGGGCGCCGCCCGTTAGGCAGACAGCCCAGAGGACGATGGACGCGATCGAAGGCCTCATCTGTAAGACACGAGAGGTTACGCGTGATGAGGAGGTGCTTGTTGCGGACGTCTAGGCATGAAACTGGAAGGAGAATATCGGCGTATCGCGGAGGACGATTATTGCCTCCCGAGATCATTAAGTTTAGCCGAGGTATGATAATGAACGGCAATTGGACATTACGCCGTGGTTGGGTGTATCTCGTGGTGGGGATGATGAGGAAGGAGGGTGGTGGTGAATCCGTAACCCTGGATTGATAAGTGTGATCGATGTCGATAGGAGCTTTACAATTAAGCTCTACCGATTGGCGGCTAATCGGCGTTGAAATTTTTCAGCCGCCGAGCTCGTCGGCTCGATCGCTAAACGGTTTGTTTGTATGCTTGTTTGTCCAATTATTTTTCATTTCGGCTAATAATATGCTTTTATCATCGGCGTAGCGCTGTTATCGCTTATAATGTATGCGAACTTTTAAGCGCGGAGCAACAGCAGCAGCAGCCGATGCTAATAGTCCTCGATTAATGCGATTATACGCTTTCCTTTTCCTAAGCTTAATTTTTTCAAGCAAATGGATTTTCTATTACGGATTTTTCTGCTATGCATAAGCCGCGCAAATAGGAAAAAGCGCCACGAGATTTTGAGCTTATCAATATAATATACTTATAAATTTTATTAGCCATGATTAGCGATTAGTTGGAAGCGCTTGCGCAGTGACGTGCAGCAGGAGCACCTCCTTTCTACCTTAAAGGTCCGGCGGAATAGAATATTCCAACGGTTAATTAGTTTTCAAGTCCGACAATGCATTAAAAAAATATGCGAATAATCTCAATGTAAATTAATAATTATACACGACCACCGGCTAATTTTAACGGCCAAGATAAATAATTACGGGATAGGCCAAGATTGAGATTTGGCATTGGGAATAAGCGCAATTTATCGATACGGATTTAATAAATTCAGCGTGATTGAATCTGGCGCACCGTTATAAGCCAAAGACTGCTCTTGTATCCAACGGCAATATTTATCTATGGCTTTTATCGCATTAGAAAGGTTCCTGAATCACAAATTAAATCACGCGCCAAGCATCGCTCTCCGTGGTTTAAAGAGGGTGAGGCGGAGGGGCGGCGAAACGACGACCGGTGAATAGGGGGGTTTGACGGTGAGAGCGGTGGCGGCGTCGGCAGTTGGGGGAGGAGAGAGGGGGTAACGGGCACGCGAAAGAGAGAGAGAGAGAGAGAGAGAGAGAGAGAGAGAGAGAGAGAGGAAAAAGAAGTCGGTTTATGCGCCGCGCGTGTATTTCGCAATATCGCGCGCTCGGCTTCACCCAATAACACACCTTGCGGCATATCGTTAGCCCTCGTCGTTCTTGCGAATAAAAGTCACGCGGCAAAGACGGGGGCGGGATGGGGAGGGAGGGAGGGAGGGTGGGAGGGGGGGGGGGGAGGACTGGAGCAACGACAGGCGAGCGAGCGGACACGATAAGATCGCGACTCGCGACTGGCCGGGGACAGAATTTGCCCCGGGGCGAGCGTAGACCAAGTGGAAGCGCCAAGGACTTGTACCGTTGGCTTTGAAATTTCAAGCGTCGAGCGTCTGCGGGGCGCG